GATGATCTAATGCATCTTTACCCGCCTCTCTAAGCTCCTAGGAGATGGTCACACCACATGAATTACCCCAGACCCTGAGTGGTTAGAAGGAGAACATCCTTAGTCTCACACAACCATACACACCCACCAAGTTGAGAACAAGTGACTCAGTGGCCACTTGACACACAGAATGCCACTGAATCTCATGCCATCCTATGAGCTGACCCTATTTACAGATGAGGAAACAGTGGCTCAGAGACATAAAGTCACTCACCAAGGTCACATAAGGTCTCTCCTCTCTGTCATCTGAGAAGCCAGGGCCCCCTCCGATTAGTGGCCAGAGGGATCCTGTTAAAACCTGAGTTAGAGCTGGTCCCTCCTCTGCTCTGAAGCTTCCCATGACTCCCACCTTATTCAGTGGTAGGGTGGGGCCCAGACCATGGGTCTAAGCCCCTCTGGGCATCAGAGGCCAGGTCAGCCCACTTGGTCCCCAAACTGCTATATTTCTATCAGGTCCAGGTGAATGTCTCTGTTCCAATCCAACCCAAAAGGTTCTCCACCATATAGGACACTTCTCCTTTATGGTGGAAGAAAAAGGCAGCAGAGAAAAAGAAAATCTCCCAGCAGTGGCCATGTGGTCTTTCAAGCTGGGCCAGTGCACATGCTCCTCAGAAAAGTTTCACCTCTGATTTAGCATAACAAAACTTTTAATTTAGATGTTTTCATGTCTCCCTCCAAGTAAAAATAAGTTTAAAATAATGACTGTAATAAATGAAGGTAATTAATTGTAGTTTGTTCCTTTACTGTCTAGTCAGCTTAATTTTACCTTTTCAACTAATAATGAGAAAATAATTTTTGTGCTCGGAGGGTTAATGATATGTAACTGCGAGAACTGCTAATTGCATGTTGCAATCCATCCATCAACAACCCCATCTGTGCGACTTGATTATGTTTTCTAAATTATTGCTTTGAATTATCTTTTATAAAGCAACTTTTATAATTAGCGAGGCTTTCGTCTTGCTCTTTTCTCTGTATGCAAGGATATTCAAACTTTGGCCATTTCAAGCTGTCTCCATTAAGCCACCTTCTCCGGCTGTCTTTGTTTCCCTGAACAGGAGAAATCAAAACTGTCCTTTAAGCAATCAAGGCAGACAGAGAAGCTTCCTTGATTCACAGCAGGGCAAATTTACTTCCTCTCCGCCCCCTCCCACTGGTGTGCACGCGCGCGCGCACACACACACACACACGCACACGCACACACACACACATACACACACACACACACAAAGAAAGAAAAGACCCGTACATATATAATATAAAAAGATAAGAAGTATGCCCAGATTTTGAATGCACCAGGGCTAGTGAAGCAAAATTCAGGAATGACATCGTATATTTCATTGAACATGGTATATTTCATGGTATATACCGTGAAACTGAACATGGTATATTTCAAGGAAAGGCCTGCACTGGGGAAGAAGGAATGACGAGTGTGATATTCAGCCCAGGCATTTTATGGGCTAGCGTATGTGACTTGATATGGTGTTTGCCCCAGGGAATATTTCCAGGAGGTGATTAATACCCACTTGGGAATCGCGGTGCCAGCCCAGAGCCCGGTGGATTGCGAGAGAAGAGCAGCATAAAGGATGAGGCCTCATTAAAAAAATTAAAATGAAAATCAAATTTGGATTATAAACGGCCTGTGCGTGTGCAGCTCTTTCTGGATGAAGATGCTTTTTATTAACACCTTCCTTTGGTAGCATCTCTCCCCTGAGGCGCAAGGAGGGACACAGAGGCCACGATGGCTTAGTCAATAGATCACGAGAAAAGCAGGAGTTTCGGGAATAAAATTCCAGACAAATGTAGTCTTCTTGGTACATTAAAGGGACAATGGAAAGCTCTCTTAAGAAAATTAACAAAGTTCTTTAAGGTCCCCAGCTATTAAAGTGGTGCCTATTCAATGCACTACATGGGCTTTGAAAATAAGAATTCTGCTTTGTCTTTCCTTTTGGCCTAAGACTTTCTCTGTCCCAATATTTATTGAGTACCAACTGTGTGCCAGACCCTGGGACTGCCTCCAAGCTGCTGAAGTTTTTGAATCTTTTTTCCTTTTTTTTTTAAGAGACCAGGTCTCACTCTGTTGCCCAGGCTAGAAAGAAGTGGTAATAATCGTAACTCACTGCAGCCTCAAACTCCTGGGATCAAGTGATCCTCCCACCTCAGCCTCCTGAGTTGCTGTGACTATAGGCACGAGCCACCATGCCCAGGTAATTAAAAAAATTTTTTTATAGAGATGGGGTCTCATTATATCGCCCAGGCTGGTCTTGAACTCCTGGCCCCAAGCAATCCTCCTACCTTAGCCTCCCAAAGTGCTGGGATTACATGTATAAGCCATTGTACCTGGCCTCTGAATCCTTATTGTTAGCCTCATTTGCCAGAGGAGGAAAGCTGAAGTTCAGAGAGGTTAAGGAACTTCTCTGAGGCCATACAGCTGGTCCAGGAGCAGAGCTGAGGTTTTGACCAGGCCTGAGTCAAATGTGCATGTATTTTCTACCACGCTGCAATTGGGTCTTCTCCTGATCATCACCCAAATCTCACGTTTCTTCTTCTGAAAAGATAACGTAAGTCACGCCTACTTCCTACAGGAGCGCTCCCCTCCAAGCCCTTCTTTTAGATAAAAAGCCTTCAATACCTAGTTAGGAAAGTGGCAGATGGCAGCTCAGCCATACTAGAGATTCAGTAAACCTGTATCAGAGGTCACTGCTCATAGGAATAATAAAATATCCAAGACTTCTCATACGCAAGGCAGTATTTCAAGCACCTCATCAGTGTTAATTTCTTTCTTTCTCAATCTCACCCTATGAAATATGTATAATTTTTTTTTTTTTAGACAGAGTCTCGCTCTGTCACCCAGACTGGAATGCAGTGGCATGATCTTGGCTCACCATAACCTTCCCTCCTGGGTTTGAGTGATTCTCCTGCCTCAGCCTCCCAAGTAACTGGAATTACAGGTGTCCACCACCACACCTGGCTAATTTTTGTATTTTTAGTAGAGTCGGGGTTTCACCATGTTGGCCAGGCTGGTCTCCAACTCCTGACCTGAAGTGATCTGTCTGCCTCAGCCTCCCAAAGTGCTGGGATTACAGGTATGAGCCACCGCCTGGCCTGAAATATGTATAATTATTATCCTATTTTACAGATGAGGAAACGGAGGCATGGAGAGGACAGGTAACTCACCTCAGGTCACAGAGCTAGTAAGTGGGAAAGGCGGGATTCCAACTCAGGCTGGCTCCAGCATCTGTGCTCTTCACCCCCAACTGCTCTTTGTGTGTCAGACATTACATTAAACCCTTTCCCTGCATTAGAGCTCACTTAATTCTCAAAACAACATGAAAAGACTTGTCAATGTCTTTATACTCCCATTTAACAGACAGGGAAAACTGAGGCTTAAAGAAGCCAACAGAAGCTCTGTTCACACCAACTGAAGCAAGGAAACAGCTGGGAAAGTGATGTTCTCTACGAATAGCTCAATGCCTGTCTTTGGATTGGGCAGAGAGATCAGCTGCTAGAGGGAGCTTGTTTGCCGAGCGGCTCTCCTGGGACTAGGAGTTGGCAGATGGGAACCTCTGTTTTTTTTTTGTAACACAAAGTCATGAAAACCCCATTCCTAACATTATTGGTCTTTCTGGTTTTTTTTCTTCCCAGCCCAGGCACCTTGCAACCAAATGAATCAATACTGGATGGCCCTATAAATAAATAAGCACATCAGTCAACTCGGTAATAAAATGAAAGGATGAAAAATATGGAAATCAGCGACATTTGTGTAAATCCAGTTATTGTTTACTTTAATATTGCCTTATGCGCTTATGTGGTTCCAAAGAGACAGATTTAAAGTAATGTGGCGCTTGGTGGAAAACAGACTTAAAATGCATCCCCACTGGTGAGCTCTGAGCGTGGTCAATCCTTCTGGGGTCCTCCCTGAGCCCAGGGAAGCCCGAGAAGAGCCCCCTCAAGATAAAAGGCTTTAGAAATCCCTGGACCCACGTGATTCCAGCCTTTTCTTGACCTGCCTCCTGTTCCAGCCAGACAAGTGGACATTCTCAGACTCTTGGTTACGAAGTCAAGCAAAGAGGAGAAATGGAGGAGGTTCACCCTGATTACAGGGCTTCCAAAAAAGCAAGAGAAATGATTTACTGAGGACAGCAAAGGAACCAGGGCTCAGTGGGTTGGCAGGAAAGAATGTGGACAATGTTACTTTTATACTCAAAGAGTGGGCTGGTAACTATATGGACTTATCTGCAAGGCTGCCTTAGAGGATCAAAGGAGAGCAGAATGCCAAGAGAGGGCAAAGGTCATCTAGTACCAACCTCTGATTTTAAAAATAGGAAACCAAGCCAGGAAGGTGAGGTAGGTTTGTTTAAGGTCATACATCTCTTTAAAATTTTATTTTTTATTGTTTTAGAGATGGGGTCTCACTCTGTCACCCAGGGTGGTGTGCAGTGGTGTGTTCATGGCTCACTGCAGTCTCAACTTGCTGGGTTTAAGTGATCCTCCTGCCTCAGCCTCCTGAGCAGCTGGGACCATAGGCACGTACCACCATACCTGGCTAATTTTTAATTTTTTTGTAGAGATGGGGGTGTTTCTATGCTGCCTAGGCTAGTCTTGAACTATTGCCTCAAGTGATCCTCCTAGTTCAGCCTCCCAAAGTGCTGGGACCACAGGCATGAGTCACTGTGTACGGCCCAAAGTCACAGATCCTGACATGTAGCAGAGCCAATGTAGTGTAAGATTGGGCAAAGTCTGGGCAGAGGGAGATTTCTTCCGATCGCACTTGAATTCCGTCAAACCGAACAGAGCGCCAAGTCTCACACCAGAGGGAAGGGCCCAGAGTTTGTAGTGGGGGCAGGGAAGCTTCTCCAAAGATTCTCGAGGCTGCTGGCCCCCTTGGGCAACTCTAGATGGGACAGGAGGGGGAGCCAGTGGAGGGGGCACTTTTCTGACATGCTGTGGGCCCTGGGTCTTACCTCGGCTTGGAAGCTTTTTAATACAGGAGCCACCATCTCTCTGATTTCCTGAAAAAGAGATCAGCGAAGAGTTCACTACAGTGCCAGGTGGGAAGCCCCCGTGGCCCCTGCTTATAGCTCGCTGCTGTCCCTGGCTCAGCATTCCCAAGCATGTCCCTTGGGGCCTGAACTCCACTGGATTTCACAAGGGACACACACACACAGGGGTACCAAGCCACACCCGGCTGGGAACTGTCAAGTCCAAGGGGTTTCTTTCCTGTAGGACTTTCTGGAGTCTTTCGTATAATGCATGTTGGGAATTTCCAGAAGACAGAGAAAGGAAGCAGTGTTTCCCGAATGGATTTGATCACAGAATGGTCTTTTATGCAAAATATCTTGTGAGATAGGTGGTCCATCCTGGGTCACCCTTTGGGGTGGGGTGGCGCTGGAGAGATAACCCCAATTCTCCATGCTCAGCACTAGATGAAAGTCCTTCCTTAAAAACCTCTGCCCTTCACGGTGTTGCTCGGGGCTGCCTCTTCTAGGCTGCACGAGCTCCACAACCCTACCTGTGGCCACCTCTTCAGCAGACTGCCTTTTGCATGTTAGCAACGCTGCTTGTGTACTTGACTCTCCTTCCTCACCAGAATGTGCAGTTTCTGCAGTCTCAGCTGGGTCCCAACCCCATACAGGCTTTTGATGAACTCTATGGACGTGGGCTATCTTCAGAGGAGAAGTTTGTCCCAGCCACCCTGAGCCTCCTATATATCCAGACCCTAATTTCCTGGCTTTCATAAGTGACCTGGGGTTCTCAGCAACTTGGGCTAGCCTGGCAAACTCCTATGTGTTCTTCTCCCCGGCCTGTAAGAGGGAAGCCTTAAGAACCACGTGTTCCGAGACTCCAACCTTAATCCTCCAGTTTCCTGCCAGATCCACTGGTGTGACTCCCCTACCACAATCAGCCACAGTTACCAGTAATCCCCATGGGAGGTATTGAGGGGCTAGACAGCGTGGGAAGTGGGGGGCCAGACAGCACAGGAAAGGAAGAGATGGGCTGAAGACTTATATATGGGCAGGTGAAGAATAAACCCCTTCATTATGCAAATAACATTGTGTTGCTTCTGCCCCGATTCTGGATCCCTGGGGCGTTCCCAAGCTGCTGATTGACAGACCGATGTATGTCGGGGACCGTCAGGGGAGACACAGGCCGTGAATGTAAACCTAGTAGACTTGACCGTTAGAGGCCATGCGTGTGAGGCTGAGCCATGGAGGAGGATGCTTCTGAGAATCTGGGTCACAGGTGGTGAAGTCAAATGCCCACCAGGCCAGGCAGACACGGCTGCGAGGGAGGCTGGGACAATGCAAGCCCCACCGATGGGGTGATATGCTCTGCTCCAGCTGACGATGGCAGCAGGAGCACGGAACCTCTGGGTTGCACAATCTACCAAATATTCTCAAAAGACACCAGAAATCCAATTTTTAGGTGAAATCAGCTAAGATGCTAAATACTGGCAACTCACCATAAAGTTCGAAAGACTCTGCAGACTAAATACAAATGTGTTGGCGGGAGACCTCTGGTCCATGTTTAGGAAACATTAGTTCTGATGAGGCCTCTCGGAAACCACCTCTCCAGCAAGGTCATAGAGTGAATGCATGGCGCAGCTAGCATCTGAACCCAGGTCACTGGACTCCCCAAGTAGGCTCTTTTCACAACCCCACATTCTGAGGTGGCATTTGAGCATTCTGGGAGGGACCAGTTTGGCGGGACTTCATGTTAATGCTGCCCATTTCTAGAAGCACGCCGCCTCGTCTGCATGGCTGGGGGACGCCGAGCACAGGCACGAGCAGGAGGTGAGCTGGGCACCAGCCAGAGGAACTCTTAAATAAAGCCTCGGCGTGACTTTCTCCATCAGGAGAGACTGGCTCCAAAACGGAGCATTTTCAAAGGCACGACTATAATAGGAATGGAAACTTATTCCTCCTAATTACATAATTGCATAATTATGCAGTATTAAAATTATGTAAGCTGAACTTAGAGGCTTAAAACATGGCCTGGATTTCCCTCATCACCTGGGGACTCCCACATGGCCCCAGAAGAAAGTCAGTTGGGTTAGGAGAAGGAGGATGAGACAGCGGCTCTAAGCTGACCAGGGAGAGGGCAGGTGTGGCTGTGAAGATGTGGGGCCGATTCCGCTCTGTTTCCCAGAGTCAAAGGAGAGTCAAAGGTACCCTTATTCTGGGGAGAAAAATCCTCATTCTGGGGAGAACCAAGCTGAGCTCTGTTCTAAAAGGCGAAGGAAGGTTCTCGGCTTCACTGATGCCTTCTTGGCTCTTGGAGTCAAACCAAAGGCCTGGCTTGGCTTTTCTGAAGCCGCAATATGGGAGAGGCTTTCAGACCTGAGATTCATGCCGCTTCTCCATGTAGACACTCTCTTCCTTCTAGACTTGCTTCATGGACAGACCTAGCTAGGTCCTAGTCCCTTCTCTTGCCTTGAAGAACTAAGAGGATTCTGCAGCTAAGAGGCTGAAGTGGACTTGAGGCTTCTCCCCTCTGGGCTCATGTGGCCTGACTCCTGGCTGGGTCTGCCTTTTCTTTATCTTCCCATGGTCCCCTCCCTCACTATTGAGATGGCAACAGGATCCTCCTGCCCCCAATCCCAGAATCGGACAGGCAGAGCGTAACCAGTGATCAAGGTCTCCCATCTGAATGTCAAACTCTGTCCCCCCTTCCTCTAGCACACCTGAGCAGGTAAGTACCGATGTTGACCTTCTGCTGGCCAGAACGAAACACAGTTGGCTTTGGGGAGAGCTGGCCTCAGAGATCACTGACGTCTGTTCCCCGTCACAGCTCTGATGTGTCACATCCTTATCATATAGAGTCAGAGGGCTTTATTTTCCCTATTTGTGTTTATTCTCATCATTTGTTTTGTAATTTGAGAAGCAATAGGGGGGCCTACGAGAGGAGAGAAAAGAATTCACACATTCGGTCCAGTAAAGAACAGAAACTTGTCTGTTCTCGTCTGTTCCTTGGGGGGCCCTCGCATTGCTGGAGGCTGGTCATTCTCTGTCCGCCCCTCCAAAACCCCCTGCAATGGCTGCTAGAAAAGGCATAGGTGGTTGCTGGGATTGCAAGGGAGGAGGTGAAGGGAAAGAATGGGGTGCGCGCACAGGGGGTGGCAGGCGAGTTTCAGAGGTGATGAGCGCTGGCAGGCCCCGAGAGGGTGTTAGAGAATTGCCGCTGCCTTCTTCCAGATGCCAACGGGAAAACAAAATCAAATCAAGAACTCTAAGGCACACTGTCTTTGCCAGCAAGGCCAGGCATTTGACTTAAATATGAATGTAGGGGGAAAATGGACGTTTCACAGCACCCTTGAAAAACAGTGACGTTGACGGAGGAACGCCCGCCCTCCCTTCAGTCAGCACCGCTGAGCATCGCTAGGCCAAGAAACCCCGTAAGGTTGGGGGTTGTCATTTTTCTTTGTGGCTAATTAGCTTCTTTTCTTGTTAGTCACTTACATCTACAGTTTTCAAAATATAGTTTGAGCGGAGAGAAATTTGCATTCCTACTGAGTTAATTCTATAACAGCAAATATACCATACCTCAGGTACATTTTTCTTAAATTCCCGGCGGAGTTCAATTAAATGTTTATGAGAATGTTCACTCTCCTCCTGCCGTGCAGACAGCTCAGAAGCGACGGAATTAAGCTCCTTCTGGAACAATAAAAAAAAAAAAGGGAGAGAGAAAAGAAAAAGATTTTTTTTTTCTTTTTAACCATTGTACAAAACAGCATTCTGAACAACTTTTCTTAACTTATAAAGCTGAGAAAAGGCAGGATATTGACTCCTGGCACAAATAAATAATTTACAAAACTGGGATGCAACTGAAAAAAAATCCAGGACAGTTTTTTGCTCATCGAAGTCAGGCCAGATCAATAATCTTCTATAAAGTTGGATGGAGTTGGTTGTTTTTTTATTCCCCATCTCTTCCCCCCACCCCCTGGACCACCTCTTAAATTTCCAAAGGAGTGATGGCATAAGCTTGTCAGTAACTGCAGAAAACATCTCCAAACCATGTCAAAATAGTAAAGTGCAGCATATTGTATGGGCATATTACAGTGGAAGAAAGTGCTGTCGACAGCTTTCATATATCAGAGGTGGGAACGGCTCCAACTATGACTTACTTACACTTAAAGGTTCATAAATACGCCTTTTAAGATATAGATGGCTTTTTAATTTCAGTAGATTTTGGAAAAATGAAGGTGCCAATAAGAAGTAAGCTGACCTTTTGTGTATCTCGCAGTAAATCATTTAAGGTTCACTTCAAGTCTAAGAAATATTTCATTGAAGACTCCTGGCTTCAGAAGAAATGGATTGGAAAGCGCTTTGCTGGCTTATATGCAAGGAAGGTATCAGACCAGGTTTCTATGGGACGCACCAGTGAGGGGAAAAAGAGAGAGGGATGGAAGGGGGGATGCTCCGGCTCACACACATCACAGACAATGTCTGCTGGCCGTGCATGTATATTTGATCACCCCTCTTGAAGCTTTCTTCACTTTAATGGTGGCAGTTTCACAAGGGGAGTACAATTCACCATGAGTTGTCATGGATTTCATTTGCATAATTCAAGAAATGCTCTGTTTACGTGGTTGGCTGCTTCCTTGCACCATCCGAAATGGGCTTTTTTTCTGGACCATAACTCGAGGAGCATTTCTGTATATATCACCCGATTATATTTGTGGCAATCAAGCCCCATAATTTCCTAAATCCGGTGATGCAATAAATTTCTGCAATCAGATTTATTAAAAACACACACGCAGATGCGGGAGTGTATTTCTAGGGTGAACTCTTTAATCTAACATATGTATGATGAGGCCCAGCACTGTGTTGAAAGACCCCATTTGTCATCGCTAATACACATTCATCTTGCACACACAATGAAACACTTTTGCCATTAGATAATGAAATAAAAGTACTATTAACCCACTGCAAATTCTTTTCCCTCTAAGAGACGAAATGCATGGTAATTGTCTTATATCATGTCTGAGAGTCGGTAAATCTGCTCAATAGCAGCTCACCAGAGCACCATAAACCTGGCGCCCCAACTGGGACAAGTGTCCCTAGCCTATGGATTTCTTTGTAGAAATTCAGGAAGGAATTTCTATTTCTGGAAGAATGTTTAACGTCTTTGTAAAATTATGAGGCTAGAAGGTAGAAGGTGGAGGGATCAAAGTAGCTTTGAAATACAGGTGAGGGCCAGGTGTGGTGGCTCCTGCCTGTAATCCCAGCACTTTGTAAGGTCAAGATGGGAGGATCACTTGAAGCCCAGACTTTGAGACCAGCCTGGGCAACATAGTGAGACTTCTTCTTTACCAAAAATAGAACAATTAGCTGGGCTTGGTGGCACTGCACCTATAGTCCCAGCTACTTGGGAGGCTGAGGTGGGAGGATTGCTTGAGCTCAGGAGGTCAAGGCTGCAGTGAGCTGTGATGGTGCCACTGCACGAGAGAGAGAGAGAGAGAGAGAGAGAGAGAGAGAGAGAGAGAGAGAGAGAGAGAGAGAGAGAGAGAGAGAGAGAGACCGAGACCTAGTCTCTATGGAGGGCAGGAAAGAGGTGGGGGGAGACAGGTGCTGTCCAAGGTGCTGAAACCGATTCTTGCAGAAGCACAGGGTACTCCCACTTGAAGGTGCACAGGGGCTTCCAGTTTAAAAGCCCAGTGGGAATAAGCCAGGTGTGGAACAAGGTGTTATGAGCAAAAAGGGAGAATTCTGGTTTATCATCACTTAAAACTAATCACAGTTTCCAATAAAGAAACTACAACTGACCACAACCGAAATATCCAGTGACAGGCGAGATCAGTATTTGCAGCATTCGATAAAGGGAGACAAAACCCAACTGGTGGGAGCTGCCAGGTGCACAGAATCTCACTTGGCAGGAGAGAAAAAAACTAGAGTGCCTTGGTCAATTGGAGTTGCAGCGGCGTGCTCCCAGTTCCTAGTTTTTCTCATCTCTCTTGAAGACAAAGATGTGATTTTTCCATTGCTGCAGGACAAACAGAACTGGAACGTGGGTTTACATCTCTCCATCTTGGATTATTGTGTGTCTGACACTATGTTCTTATTGCAGGGACACAGTGCCTTCCCACAACACAGCAACCAATATACCTGGTGGGGGTTGGACTTTGACTCCTCATTAAAAATATCCAGCCCAGGTTCTGAAAGGAAATCGCAGAGCAGGATAAGTCCAACCACCTGATGTATCATCGCAGACAGTTATGCCTGACTCTCTCCATGTGCACCTCCCAGGGTGCTGGTGGATGTAAATCTGACAGGCAGGATGTCTGCTGTGTCCACATTGCAGAGAGAACAGAGCCAGGGAAGGAAGGGGGACATTGCCAGTCCCCCACACCTTGACCCCACCACAAGCCCAGCCCTTGATATCTTTCCTTGAGGAGCAAATGAAGTCACTGACATCCATGTTCTTCTCAGCTTTGCCTAAATCTATGCTTGTCCTTCAACCCTGAATTCTTGCCATAGTTCACTGGTAAACACACTAACACCAATAATAATAATAGTAAATAATCATAACTACCATTTATGGAAAGCTTCATGTACCAGGCACTGCGCTAAGCTCCTAACATACATCATCTCATGGAACAAACACATTAATGTGTCTGGAAGGTGATTCAAGCAGGGACTTGGAAATACATTACAGTCAATTCTAATAATCGAGGTGTGGATTATCTCCTTGGTGGATTATAAAGGCAAATTTTTAATGCCCTTCTCTTCAGCAGGCTTCTGCTCCGCTTCTTCATCAGCTGATGGGTGTTCAGGGAGCTTGTTTTAATTGATATGGATGTGATATGGATGTATAAAGCTTCAAGTGTTCAAAAAATGTTTTTTTGTTGTTGCTGTTTTTGTTTTGAGACAGGGTCTCACTCTGTCACCCAGGCTGGAGTGCAGTAGTGCAGTCACAACTCACTGCAGCCTTGACCTCCTGGCCCAAGCGATCTTTCCACCTTAGCCTTCCTAGAAGCTGTGACTATAGGCATATGCCACCATGCCCAGCTAATTTTTGCCTTTTTTTTTTTTGGTAGAGATAGATAGGGTTTCACTATACTGCCCAGGGTGGTCTCGGACTCCTAGACTCAAGCAATCCACCTGCTGTGGTCTCCCAGACACATTTGGGATTGAGCCACCATGCCTGGCCTTGGCTGATATTAATCTTATATTTAGATAAACTGAGAGCTCAGAAAACACCCCACCAGATCAATGATTCCAAGAATTTTAGATTTCACAGCTCAGTAAAAATTCTGCTTTAAAAATAAAGGAAGACTGCTAGAGTATTGCCAAATGTTACGGTATCATTAAAACCACTCCCTTCCACCCTAAAAGAAAGGGTATTTGAATATCAGCAAAGCAAGAGGGCCAATGACAGCATCGGCACAGGTCTTTCATAATACACACAGCTAAAATTAAGAAGCTCATGGTACTATATTTATTTTGAAGGAATAGTAAAAAATTCTATCACAAACATAAACCAGGTCTGGTCTAAAGTTGAGTTTTAGAAAGCATGTCCGAACCACCACACACACAGCTTTGATAATCAAAGGAAGTCAGGATTTTCTCTTACCCAGCCCTTGTCAGCCGCCCCCAGCCCCCAGCCCCCAACCCCCAACCCCCCAGCCCTGGGGGAGCCACGATTAACACAGCCCCAGACTTTGGGCCAGGCCCAGGCAGGGAGGAGACTCATCTGATTAACCGGCCATCAGCAGCAGACAGACAGCCCGGAGCCCGGCGCAGACCATTCAAATAATGATCATCATAAACAGCCCATTTGCAACTAAAAAGAAATAATTTTAATGAGCCTGAAGCAGATGATAGATGCAGCTGAGGCCAATGTGCAGAGAGAAAAGAGGCCGGGGCTGAGCTGGCACCCAGGATCGGGTGCTGGAGAAGTTGGGGGTTTGGAGGAAGGGGCTCTTCTGATGGGAACTGCAGCACCCCCTGAGAGTGCCCACTGCCCAGTGAGAGCCCCTATCTCCAGGAGGATTTGCCATGGGCGTGCTGGTCAGTCTTGGGAGTTAGTCCTCCAAGACACTCAGAACATATGAGCTAGAAGGAATCTTCAAGGTTGCTCAGGTCACTGCTGTCCAAACTTTGACCGCTCATGTCCCTCTGTGTGAATTTTGCCATATTGATATAGCATCTAAAATATAATCTCTTCATATTTATCTTCAGATGGACTCCTATGGTTATCTTTTTGAGATATGCATCACTTTAAATTCCATAGTTTAATGTTAAGCTTAGTGAATTAAAAAAATATATTTTTTAGATAGGGTCTTGCTATGTTGCCCAGGCTGGACTGCAGTGGCATGGTCACAGCTCACCGCAGTCTCAACCTCCCAGGCTCAGGTGACCCTCCCACAGTGACCTGGGTAGTAGGGACTACAGGCCTGTGCTACCATGCCTGGCTGGTTTTTATTTTTTGTAGAGATGGGGGGCAGGGGTCTAACCATGTTGCCCAGGCTGGTCTCGAACTCCTGGGCTCAAGCAAAAGCTTAGTGAATGGTTTACACCTGAGTAACCCAGTTCAAGATGTAGAACGTTCATGTTCCTAGCGTCTCTGAGAACTCCCTAGTACTCTCTCCTTGTCAGTACCCGCTAAAAGTAACCATGATTTGAACACTGGCAACATAGACACATCTTTCCTA